TCCTTACTCCCCTTCTTACACTTTATTGTATTGTAATTTAGTACTATTCTAACTTATGCCAAAATTAACTTTTAGATATACAGAACTAGTTAGGTTTTTTGAGATTCATAGTATATTAGAGTGTTATATAAAGTTATTAACTTAGAAATTTCATATACTGTCTATATGCATGATCTATACATGATCAGTAAATTACGAATTAAGTACTCTAAGATCAGTTATAGGAAAAAACTTTTTAAGTTCTTCTTTAAGTTGTGTAGGGTTATCTGATGCTTGAGATAAAGTAATAAAATACGTTTCAGGTAGAGTATTGAAGTTGAAGATAGTGTATAAGATATTAGTAATTACTTTAGTTTGTGATCTCTTTACTATAGGTAGTTCAAAGGAAAGTATTTCAAGAATTTCTTTGTCAATTAATTCTGGTTTTTCAGATAAAATCTTGCGAAGAGAGATATGGAATTGATAGATTATATTGAGTATAGTTTTTGGGTTTTCAAGAGGGGTTGCCTTGATAAAATTCCTGCAATACTTGAGTATTTGGAATGTTTGATGTGGATTAAGAGGTCTAAAGTTAAGATTTAATAGATAGTCAGTTGTAAGTTTCTGGTAGAGTTTGGTTTGTATTTGGTCTTGAGTTTCCTTGTCAGTGAGTGTAACATTGTTTTTGGATTTATAAGATTTGATTGCATTTTGAAGCAAGTCATTGAATTCAATTTGGTGTGCAGGTATAATATTTTTCTTGTTCGTGAAGGTTTTAAAGAATGCTGAATCTCTGTAGTCGAATTTAAGTAGAATTGCTTAAAACTGACGAAAGAGTATAAAAAGAAAGACCAGAAAGGAGAAACAGGAATGCATAGAGTGTAAAGAAAAAGAACACAGAAAAAGAAGAAAAACATATCAAAAGGAGTACATAGAACTTGAAGAAAAGGAGCATAAAGAATGTGAAGAAAAGGAGCGTAAAAAACGTGGAGAAAGGGATATAAAAAATGTGAAGAAAGAGACGTAAAAAACGTGAAGAAAGAGATGTAAAGAATGTGAAGAAAGAGAACAAAAAGAAGAAGAAAAAGAAAGATTAGAAGGGGGAAACAGGAATGTAAAAAACTGGGGTGTAGAGAAAATGAAGAAAAAAAAAACCTATAAATAACGTTGTGAAAAAAAGTCATATTACAATATATTACTATGACAAAATAACGTGAATTAGCAGTTACATTGGTTTCCAGTAGAACAATTAAACCTCATTTACATTACAGACTATTTTCTCGAAATTGGTGGTTTATTCCAAAAACAAAAAGCAATAATGATATAAAAATAATATATCCTATTCGAGTTGGTATGAAAACACAAGTAGAAATAAATAGAAAAAAATTTATTATACACATTTTAGAAGGAAACAAGTTTTATAAAAATCAATCTGGTTATTCTTGCTATTGTGATTCTGGTTCTAGTGAAATTGAGGATAATCTAACAAATGTGATTATCTCTTTATATAGACAAATTTTTAAAACTCAAACAAAAATTTTAGGTTCAATAATTATAGGCTTTGATAAAGAATCAATACTTGCTAAATTATTACATGATATAAAATTTCGTCTTTATTCAATTAGTATAGCTGATAAACTATCTGTTATGGTCTTTAGTTTAGATATTTCTAAGAAAGAAGGTTAGATGAATTCAGAAGAGGAATATATAGCTTCTTTTATTCATGTTTTTAGAAAAGAGTATTGTATATTTATTCAAAAATTTATAGAAAACAAATCTGTAGTAGAAATATGGAACAATAATATAAAAATTTTATATTATGAAGGCAGTTCACCTGTGGATGTTTGACAAAAAAATAGAATAATGAAAAAATTCCAGGGTACACAGCTATTTGGGCTTGAGCATACATATATGCAATTTATGTTATAACAATTATATATTCCTAAATGCCAACTATCTCAATAGAATGATGAAGAACTAATGAATAGTTTATTTAACTATCATCTTAAAAGGTGAACTATTGTTGGAGTAAATTGGTTACATTTATTTAAAAGGTGAGAATCTAATAGAAATATTATTGAAATAAATACAGTGCTATCAAATTTGTATCCAAAAAATTATCAATTCATTGATCGTGAAATGCAAGCTTAGAATTCAATGCTCAAAGCAGCCGGATACACTAATATAACACCTTTTAGTCAAGATATTTCTGAAGTATATAGAATATAATTTATGCTTTATAATTTTTATTTTTTTTTATTGATGACTAATTATTTATACTATTATTTAAAATATAGTCTAAATTTTGGACGTGTTTTTCAAATCCAAAGATAGATAAAAAAACTTTGAAAGATCTTTACATTTCAGGATTCTTAAATCCATATAGTTCAAATACATGAAATTCTGTGCAGACTTTTTGGAATAGTTTTGCGGATAGTTTGGATGTAAATAAAAAAGGTCCTGATAGCATTCGACGAATTTTATCAATTATTGCATATAAGTTTAACTACAATAAATTACAAAATAAACTCGTAGTTAGTATAATTATTATAATGTAATTATCTTTAATTTATATATGCAATAACTTGTTTGATTTTGCAGGTTTCACTAACAACAATCAATATAGCTTGAAAATATGCTATTCTCAATGGTCGAGAAGGTTAACAAATTAACAAACCAAAAATAATATATAATCCACCTCTTACTAAAGAAATAGAATATTAATTTCAAGCTTTTTTCGCAGATAAAGCAAATGTTACTATGAGCTCATACAAAGTTGATCTAAAAACAGACCTTCTAATTCTTTATTTACTTGATCAAAAGGAATCATTGTAGAAAAGATTCTCAGGAATTTATCCCAATGGTATGAAAAGAACAATATTTATAGCATGAATTGAAGATGGTCTATATAGGTATCATGAAGATTTGAGAGGATTATGTTCAATTTGTGCAGAGTATAGCTATGAAGTATTTGATGATTTAACTAAAATTATAACATTACATATCGAAAATAATTTAGTTCGAGTATGTAATTTTTTTATTTATTTTTTATTTATTCATATAATTATTATTTTTTAATAAAATAATAAGTTACAAATATAATTAATCAAATTTTTATTAATAGAATAAATTGTTACGAAATATAGAACTTATTAGATATCATATGAAAAGAGAGTATGTACATGAAATTGATATTGGAAGTAATGGTAATATTGAGCATAGTGAATGTATTGATTACTGTTTACTTTACATATTCGGAGAGTACATTAAATCACATACTATTAGGTGTAATCAGTATTCAAAGCTTTACTTATTTTTTACTAAATTAGAATCTATTATTCTAATAAATAAAAAACAACTTTTAGAAGATAAAAAAGAAAAACTACTTTACTATTTAGTACATCAAACATGTAAGGTGTATCTTAATACACAAATTCAAGCCAATTTATTAAAATTAGATAGTGATGGAGCTATACTTGTTGTTGATTACAAAATATGCATTTTACCAAAATCAGCATGAGAAACAAAGTCGAAATTTTTTAGAAAAAAAGGATAGACTCTGCACTCTATATTAATGTATACCAAATCACCAAATAATGAAAAACTAGATATTACTGCATTTGACCACTGGTCAGCAGATACGAAACAAGATGTATGGTTTACTGCATCATCACTTTATGCAGTTTTTGATGATATACCTAATAAGCCAAAATAGATTATATTAATTTCAGACAATAGACCATACTATCATAATAGTGAAATGATGTTTATATTAGTACATTAGAAAGATTAGTATAACATTGAAATTAGAGGATAGATTTTTTTAGAAGCTGAAGAGACAAAAACAGCTATTGATTCTCATCATGCGCAGGTTAGATCTAATAATATATTATAAATTATTAGTTTTTCAATTATA